CGTAGTACGCGTAGTGTGCGTACTTCAAGCGTGCATACCCCGAATTGGGACACAGCATTTGTCTGCTGTGTTTTACGTGCATCTATTTAAAAGAGTGAGTGTAAACACAAAAAAATATTTTATTTTATATGCTGGAATATGCAGAAAATAGGTTTAAATTGTACACAAATTTCTTCCAGTGTAGAGAATGTTGCTTACAATTTAATGTTTGCGTGATGCATAAATTTAAACGATTAAAACTAATAAAACAAGTTTTAAAAAGAGACATTTTATTTGATTACATTTTATATAATGGATTATGCAGGAAAAATAGAATTGGGCTGAAAGATCTATTGTTTTATTACCTATTCAGGGTGTAAATCATGTTTTAAAAAGTAACTAAGTAACTAATTACTTTTGAAAATAAGTAATCAGTAAAGTAACGGGATTACTTTTTGGGGGAAGTAATCAGTAATTTGTTACTGATTACTTTTTTCAAGTAACTTGACCAACACTGATCACAGGTGGTTCTTAGTTTTCATTATACTTCTGAGATCCAACTTATCTAAAATTGGAGAAATTAGACAACAGAAATTAAACAACAAACAAGATTTTGGGTGTTAGGCAGATGATCTGTAGCAGGGTCAGTTTCACTTCTTGTAAGAACCGTCATTCTCCCTCAACTTATTGAGCATTCTAGGATCTAACAACTATTTCTTTAAACAATTCTACGCCCGTTTCGAGGTTAGCCAGGCGGCTAATGCTAACTACCACCTGACAACTGAGGACAGTGACGTCATCAGCGAGAGACCGGTGATCGGCATCGCAGAGCACGACGTCTGAGCGAAACTGAGGAGCGTGAATGCAACGAAAGCGGCTGGGCCTGACGGCATCACCGGTCGTCTGCTGCGCTGCTGTGCTGACCAGCTAGCAGGTCTGCACACTTCCATCTACAACGAGTCCCTGGCGAAGTCTGTGGGGACCACAGACTTTGCTTCAAAAGACCCACCATCATCCCTGTGCCCAAGAACAACAAGCCCTCATTCCTGAACGACTACCGGCCAGTTGCACTGACCTCGGTAGTAATGAAGGCGTTCGAGAGGCTGCTGAAGAACATCATCTCCTCTTCCATCCCAGACACCACAGATCCGCTCCAGTTTGCCTACCGACCCAACTGACGTACAGAGGATGCCATAGCCTATGTCCTGCACACCACCCTTAGCCACGTGGACAAGAAACAGGGTAACTATGTGAGACTGCTATTTGTTGATTACAGTTCAGAGTTTAAACAATAGTGCCCAGCAGACTGTTCACAAAACTGAGAGATCTAGGACTCAACAGCCGTCTGTGTGCTACTCCCTCTACACTTCAGACTGTGTGGCCACCCATGGCTCCAACACCATTGTGAAGTTTGCAGATGACACAGTGGTGTTGGGCAGCATCTCCAACAACGATGAGGCGGCCTACATTGATGAAGTGAAGAATCTGGCATCATGGTGCCAGGATAACCACCTCCAGCTGAACGTTGGCAAGACCAAGGAGCTAGTGGTGGACTTCAGAAGGAGTCAGCACAGGGACTACAAGCCCATTATCATCAATGGAGCTCCAGTGAAGAGGGTGCAGTCCTTCAAGTATCTCAGTGTCCACATCTCCTCAGACCTGATATGGTCTGCCTACATTCAGATACAGTCCAAAAAGGCTAGGCAGAGCCTGCACCACCTCCAACAACTGAGGAAGTTCAGGGTCTCGCCAGTGATTCTCAGGACTTTCTATGCAGGTGCTGTGGAGGGCATCACACAGAACATCACATCCTGGTTTGGAAACAGCTGTGTTAAGGACCAAAAAGCTCTTCAGAGAGTGATCCGTACTGCAGAATGCAACTCAGTTGTCTCAAATATTACATTTAAGTTACATTTCAATTCAATTCAAGGTATTTGTTTCTTTTTTTATATAATTCTATACCTCTGTGACATTCTCGCAGACAAATATTAACAATCAGTGACCACTACAACTGTCTGAAAGCTTTAGTTAGTTGTATTTAAGGGCAATAGCCCATATCCCAAACATACAATCATGGTCAAAAGTTTATTGCACTCTGAAATGAAAACAAATAAGCAAAAGAAATCATGGAATCAATTTATAGAGCAAAATGTATTCTTCACTTTTGACTTTTTGGTTTTAGGAAATGCTTATACTGTGGCTCTCCTGATCACTTTAGTGTCTTTTGCCTGGTTGACCAAAAGGCTCCGGTAAATTCGATATGAGCGGGCCAATCTCTTTCCAGGCACACCTCTACCTTCCAGCAGGCTACAATCTGTCCCGGCCGGAGAGGGAGTCTATGGAAAAAATATATTTGTCCTCATTCCCGGTAGGTACTGGTTTTTTCTTTGTGTCTATGAAAGACTATAACTGCTCCTGAAGTTTATTCTTTTTCATGTTCGGAGTAGAATAAAGGGCCATGCTCCAACTGATATTTAACCAGCATTTTGCTTCTCTTCACCAGAAAACACCTTGAAAAACTATGGTGAAATGATCAATGACAAACACAGATATTATGTCAGCAGAATTAAAATTACAACTCAAATAAAACGTACACACAAAGTAAAGGCACAAACATACCGTGGGTGCCTTTCTACTGGACATTTATGAGCAATTGCAGTCCATATCGTCCATATTGTCACCTTGCACACAAGCCAGGTTTCTCTTCCTGGCTTGTCTTCAGACTCTGGCGACATGTGCGCTTAATGGACATCCGCCCAAAGCATGCGCTAGTTTCCCTAGAATACCAACCACCTTTGCTCCCAGAAATGGAGATTGAGCTGGCAATTTCCTCAGTGCAACAGTACTTGCAGTAAATCTCAATGAGTCTGGACATGGGCCAGGGAGGCCCTGCTCAGGGCAACCGTGACCACCACAGGATATGAGGTGCCGTAAGGGACATTATTACTGAAATGCTCTCACACACACTACTGAAACGCTCTCACACACACGACTGAAACGCTCTCACACACACGACTGAAATTTTTACCTCTCACACACACTACTGAAACGCTCTCACACACACTACTGAAATTTTTACCTCTCACACACACTACTGAAACGCTCTCACACACACTACTGAAATTTTTACCTCTCACACACACTACTGAAATGCTCTCACACACACTACTGAAATTTTACCTCTCACACACACAACTGAAACACTCTCACACACACTACTGAAACGCTCTCACACACACAACTGAAACGCTCTCACACACACTACTGAAACGCTCTCACACACACAACTGAAACGCTCTCACACACACTACTGAAATTTTACCTCTCACACACACTACTGAAACGCTCTCACACACACTACTGAAACCCTCTCACACACTACTGAAAACCAAGAAGATTTCAATTGAACAGGAAGGTATTTTAGCTGGACAGGAAGGTGAGGAAAAACAAATAACACATTAATGCACAACTAACACCGCGGTGACGTCTACAACAGTCTGTTAGAGGTATAATTGAAATTTTTTTTGCCTTCATCAGTGACTATCCAAACATTGTTGTAGGGTAGCAGCCTATTGCAACAAGTCGGGGCATCCTGGCTATGCTAGCTGCCCGTATAATCTTTAAAGACTGTGTCTGACAGTACCTCATCTACAATGAAATTACATCGGATCCTTGTCATTTTTTACATACATTCTTTGTTGTTTGAGGTGAGAACCAATGAAGAAGATGTTGAAAGATTTTTTACTTGTGCTCTGCAATGTATTGAGGCGCTCCAAAATGAAAATTCAGGCAATATCAGACAAGAGCGGCTTTATAGAGAGCTAGATGATCATACACGAACTCTATCAGAATTTCTTGCTGCTGTATCTCGATATGATCCCAATAATAGGGTTGCCACCAACCTACTCGGATCCTTGTATAGATGCTTTTGCAGCTTGCTACATGAATATGATGCTAGACAGAGATCTACTTATGCGACCCACAGATTGTTACCCCCAACCACCTTGAGTGGTCATCCAGGTCGGCCACAATACACTATATCTGCTGAACAGATTTCTCACTTTGTTTCCATTGGTATGACATGGCAGAGAATTGCATCATGCTTTGGAATAAGTCGAAGAACCCTGTACAGACACAGACAAACTTTGGGAGTTGAGCCATTAAGCTATGTGGATATTTCAAATCAAGAACTGAATGGCCTTGTGACGGATATCCTACAGAACACTCCAAATGCAGGGGAAGTATACATTCTTGGAAGTCTGAGATCTCATGGCTTAAGAGTTCAACGTTGGAGGGTCAGACATAGTCTACAGCAAGTGGATCCTATTGGACGTGCATTTAGACGTCGTCATGCAATAAGGCGAAGGATCTATAGTGTTCAGGCCCCCAACCACTTATGGTAAGTTCACTGGTTTGAAACAAATGGTCAGGCCTTGTGTTTAAAAGTATTAACACAATACATCAAAATTAAAGGTCCTTCATTCAAAACATTACTGAAGTTAATCTATATGATCAGCATAAGGTAATAATAATAATAAAAAAAATAACAATAACCAAAAAAACTGAAATTGCTATAAGTATGTTAAATATTTGGGGGATTCATAGTACATCAATTTAGCTGTCGTCTAATGTATATACTGTTGAGTTGTTTAATCCTTTATTTCACATCACAATTTTAATCTCTAACATTGATTGTGCCAGGTAAACGTAGTGTGGAAAAATACATTTTATGCCACTGTGTGTATGTGTGTGCACGTGTAAGCACGTGTGTGTGTGTGTGAGAGAGAGAGAGGTGTGGTGTTGTAGAAGTAAATGTACAAAATGAAACCTCTATTTTTTGTTTAAGTACAGGGTCAGGAATTCACTACTAAATAATATGAACAAACATGTGGAACTGTAGTAATGCTTTCTGATCTCTCAACAGGCATTTTGACGGCAACCACAAGTTGATTAGATGGCGCTTGGTCCTGCATGGCTGTGTTGATGGCTTCAGCCGAACTATCATATACTTACGTCGCTTATCCAATAACAGAGCCTCAAGTGTCTTGTCATTATTTTTGGAAGGAATACAAAACTTTGGTTTGCCCTTAAGGGTCAGGTGTGATCATGGTATGGAAAATATACAGGTTGCTCGTTTTATGTTACAGAGAAGAGGCAGTGTTATTACAGGTGTTTCAGTACATAACCAAAGAATTGAAAGACTGTGGGCAGAACTCAACAGAGTTGTATCAAGACACTTTATAAATATCTTTAACTTTATGGAAGAACAGGGTATATTGGATTCACTGAATGAGCTACATCTTTTTTGTCTGCATTATGTTTATTTGCCAAGGATTGAAAGAGCATTAACAGAATTTATCAATCAGTGGAACAACCATGGCCTCTCTACACAAGGAGGACAGACCCCTCTTCAGCTGTGGCATACAGGTGTCACAAACAATGTGGGAATCCTGTCGTTTATAAATGACATTTTTCATGTTGATAACCATTATGGCGTTGATGAAGAAGGGCCATTACCAGAACTTCAAACAAACAATAATGTCATTATTCCAGATATTGACATCAACATAAATGAGACTGCAATGAACATAATTCAACAAGTGAATCCATTAGAAAATAATGGAAATCATGGAATAGATGCGTTTTCTTCACTTTTACACCTTCTACATTAAATAAAATATGTTGCAAAAAATAAAAAATAAAAAAATATAAAAAAAAACATTTCAGAAAACATATCTGATCGAAACTAACATATTGAAACCATTTTCTTTAAAATGACAGCTCTGTTGTCAAACAGAAACTGACACAGGCAGAAGAATAAACAGACACAAAGACAACCATATCAAAAACAGATGCACATACACATGAAATGAGTAAAGTGAGACAAATTTTGTATATTCAAACTCAACAATCTAAATAAACTTCTGAAGTGCTGTTAAACAATTGGTATCTACCTGTATGAATCCTCAAGAACAATCACTTCTTGTCAAATTGATGTTTTAAAACATCAATTTGACTGAGGCAGGTAAATTTGGAAATATTAAAACCTTAACAAGTTAATACTCAATACTCACAATCAGTAGAGATGCCAATACAAAAGAGAAACACGCAAACTCCTCCAGCATAATGTGTTCATACCCTGCCAAAGCCGTAAGTGTTACCTAATGCAAAATCAAACTTCTCCTTGAACAGCTGGTATGAAACATGCAGTGGCAGCCTAATGCAGTTAACACACGTGTTGGCAA